TGGTGGAATCCCACCCCTGGCATACCTGCACCCATAATGCAATGCACACGTGACCCCCCTGCGCTCCCCCCCGCGCATGCACACATATCTCACACATGTGCTCTGCCCCCCCACACATGTGCAGCAGATAGCAGAAAATCAGGTGGCTGGCAGGAGGCGTGCACAGATGTGCAGTGGAACTGAGCTGGGGTGACGGCTCACGTGCCCGCAGAGATGGCTCTGCGTGCCACTTCCAGCCTGTGTGCCACAAGTTCGCCATCACAGCCCTACAGTATATATGTTTGTATATGCTAGGTATGCATCATTCACAACTCTTCCTTTCCAAATCCTCATGAGCAGGCTTCATTTTTCTACCAGTTAGTGGAGACCATCAATAGAGAAGAGTTGCTGCCTTCACATGTACTGATAACCTCCCCTGAAGCAACTAAGTGGCTGCTTTGCAAACAGAGTGCTGGACTGGAAGGAATTGACTTAGCTTCTCCTTCCAAATCTCTCTTATATGTGTAAGCAATGAATGTGGCTCTCTTCAAATCCTTGTGGGCTGAGTTCACAGCAAATCCAAAGCCAGGTTAAAAAAAAACAACAGAATTGCTGTGTTCATATAACTTGCTATGATGAACGATATAATGTTTTAATGTGATGGCCCATTTCACAGAACATGGTTCCCTTTCTTCCTCTGTGGTTGTTCTCAGTCGGTATTGATAAGAAGCAAGAAGCCTGGCCCGTGTTTTGCAGGGTCTTGTAGGGCTCAGTACTTTCTCCACTTCTGCTTAACATCTACATGAAGCTGCTGAGTGAGATCATCTGCCACCATGGACTGAGATATCAATATGTTGGTGACCCCCATCTGTATATAGCAGAATAACACAATTAAAAGGGACCTTGGAGGTCTTCTAGTCCAACCCCCTGCTCAAGCAGGAAACCCTATACTATTTCAGACAAATCGTCGTCCAGTCTCTTTAAAAACTTCCAGTGTTGGAGTATTCACAACTTCTGGAGGCAAGTTGTTCCACTGATTAATTGTTCTGCCAGAAAATTTCTCCTTAGTTCTAGGTTGCTTCTTTTTTTTATTAGTTTCCACCCATTCCTTCTTGTCCTGCCTCAGGTGCTTTGGAGAAGAGCTTGACTCCCTCTTCTTTGTGGCAGCCCCTGAGATATTGGAACATTGTTATCATGTCTCCCCAGTCCTTCTTTTCATCAGACATACCCAGTTCCAGCAACCGTTCTTCATATGTTTTAGCCTCCAGTCCCCTAAACAACTTTGTTGCTCTTCTCTGCACTCTTTCTAGAGTCTCAACATCTTTTTTACATCATGGCAACCAAAACTGGATGCAGTATCTCAAGTGTGGCCTTACCAAGGCATTATAAAGTGGTATTATTAACACTTCATGTGATCTTGATTCTATCCCTCTGTTTATGCAGCCTACAACTGTGTTGGCTTTTTTGGCAGCTGCTGCACACTGCTGGCTCATACTTAAATGGTTGTCTACTAGGACTCCAAGATCCCTCTCACAGTTGCTACTATTGAGGGAGGTACCACCTACTGTATTCCTATGCATTGAGTTTTTCTTGCCTAAATGTAGAACCTTACTATTTTCACCATTGAATCTCATTTTATTAGATAGCACCCAATGTTCAAGTCTGTCAAGTCGCTATCTTAAACCCATGGTAAATTAAGCAATCCTGTTATCTCCTTGCAGTGCTTAGGGGCTATTAAGGGCTGGATGGGGAGCAATAGACTGAAGCTGAACCCTGTCAAAATGGAATGGCTCTGGGTTTGGGGTGGTTTGGCTCATGGAGAATTGCCACCTTGGGTCTTGGGTGAGGTTCCACTGCCCCAGACAAATCCAGTACATAATCTGGAAGTTCTCCTGAACTCATGACCCCAGCTCAAGGAGCAGGGTGGCAGTTGTGGCTGGAGGCCCTTTGTGCAACTGGGCTATGTGCCAGTTATGTCCTTTCCTGGACCAACGATCCCTGCTCATAGTCACCCATGCTCTACTTACCTCCTGTCTTGACTGTTGCAATGTTCTCTACATAGGCTGGCCTTGAGAAGTATCTGGAAGCTTCAACTGGTTCAAAATAGAGTGGCCCACATGGTTTTACACCCGCTTGCGAGTGTAATGACAAATAAAATTCTTATTCTTTATACGGGCCTAGATATGAATATGTGTCATCTCTCCTGCAAGGACTGCCAATTTGCTTCAAGGGCCAATTCAAGCTGCTGGCTGCCACCTTTAAAGCCCTACATGGCTTGGGATCAGGTTATTTGAAGGACAGACACCCCTACCCAACCCCACCAGAGTGGGGGGCCAAGGGAATATTATGGGTCCCCCTCTCCTAAGGAGGTCCATCTAGTGAGACCAAAAGGAAAAGCCTTCTCTGTGGGGGCTCCTTCCCTGTGGAACATCATCCCACAGATGATATGATCAGCCTCCACTTTTAACGCTCTGTCACAGAGGTTTCCAAACTTGGCATAGCTGGCTGTGGAATTCTGAGAGTTGAAGTCCACAAGTCTGAAACTTGCCAAGTTTGGGGACCCCCTGCTCTGTCATAAGGCCCTGGAGTCCTGATTTGCCAATGGGCTTGGGTGTACCCCAGAGTTCAATGGAAACCTATCAAATGGTTCATTTGGTTGTTATCGTAAGGATGTGTGGGGTTATTGCTTTTTATTGTTTCTGTATTGAGCTTTTATCCTCGTAAACTGCCCAGAGTAACTGAGAATGAGTTTGGGAAGCCATATAAATTTTCTTAAATAAATAAATATGCTAAGGTAACGGCTGGGTTTCCACATCACACTGGCTCACACAAATTTTATCTCATTAAAGCCTGCAATGGTTTGTCACCCTAACCCAGTTAATCTATTGGGGAACATGTGTGTGCAGGAAAAAATAGTTTTTATCATTTCGGATGCCCCATTTAGTTAATCTGAAAATTAGAGTACTCACAGTTGCCTCACCAGAAAGAAGGATTGACAGACAGAAAGGAGTATTGACAGCATCATTCAGATTACATCTTCAGGAAAAAGCCTTTCTGATAAGAGTAGAATATAGTATGTTTAACTTCTTCCAAGAAGACCATTCTTTGTTCAAAACCAACTTCTTTACTTAGAGCACTACTGGATATGAGCTAATAGAGACAAAGGCCAAAGAAATCCAACACTGTAAAAAGAAATTATATTTTTATTGAGCAAGATATCCAAGACACTGCATTTGACAAGACACAGTGAAAAGACCATTTAAAATTAGTATTAATTTTCCAAGGGTTTACACTTTAGGGTCAGAATAATGTAGTCACTTATATTTTAGTATCTTGCTAAGGTAAATGGTTGAACTTACAACCATTCATTTAAAGATGGTTTTAAGTTAGGACAGCCTTGGGGTGGGGTAGGGGGAGTGATTTTGCACTATCCCCACATTTATGACCAAGTAAAGCATTGTACAGTCACGGGTTCCCAATTTGTGACCTTCCCAGCTGATTTCTGACAAAAAGAAATCAACTAGAAAAGCAGGATTCGCTCAACGACCATGGTCAAAATGGTCATAAAGTTAGGTCATGTCATGACTTGATTTACAACCATCCAATTTATGACAATAAAATTCCAGTTGTGGTTGTAAATTAAGGACTATCTATAAATGTCAAAATACCCTGGATTCTTCACTCATTGCTACACATGGTTGACTCCTAAAATTGATAGCATGCACTGAAGAATTAAAAAACAAATGCTAAAAAGTAATCACATTCTCTCCCCAGATGTATATTTCTATTGGCATTCATTTAATTCTTTTATAATTAGTATGACTCCTACAATGTTATGTCAGGAAATATTTACTATGCTGCTGTCTCCTATCTGGTACTCTCCAGATGTGCTGAATTATAACTTCCATATTCCACCAACCATTTAAATGACACTGAGCAAAGAAAGGCTGAGATACATTAGCATTCCATAGGCAACAGTGCACTTCTTGTTCTCAGCTACATGCGCGCACAGACACTCAAATAGATGGAAAATAGGTTTTAATGTCAAACAATGACTTATTACTAAGATCTGCACATGAAATTATTGCGAGGAATTCATCCAGAGTCTTTAAATTAGGTGCTACCTATATGTTAAGGAAATCATGCTCTAATGCATCCAATTTTCAAGGAAAGAATCAGTAACCCCCAATGTTGCTTAACCCTGATAGTAGGCTGGGTGAGAGAAAACCAGTTGAAATTAAATCCAGACAAATCGGACCTGCTGTTGGTGTGGAAAAAGTAGGACTCTGGGATTGGAGAGAAGCTTGCTCAGCACAGGGTTGCAACCCGCAGAGGGAGCAGGTTGGGGTCTGGAAGTGCCCCTCGATCTCCATCTGTCACCGGACTTGTAGACAAGGAGAATGCTTGCAGAATTGCAAGCCGTTGCACCAACTGCGACCCTTCCTGAGCCAGCTGGACTGTGACAAAGTTGACCATCTGCCTTAACTGTGTTGTGTGTGAGGCTATTCTTGAAAAGGATCTAGAAATTGCAAATACTATCAGGCGAGGCAGCTAGACTACTGACCACCATAGTGTATAGAAATCATATGATTCCTGTAATAAAGATCAACAATTGCTGGCGTTTTCTGGAAAGGATTCAAGGTATTCTTGTATAAAGATTTTAATAAAAGTTATGTTTAAAACTGAAGAATAATTTAAGGGTAGTAATGACTCATAAAATCTTACACAGTTTAGGGTTTGATAGTCTATGGCAGGGGTGTCAAACTCAAGGCCTCTGGGCCGGGGTGCTGAGATCTGGCCCTGCGTGGTTGTCCTGGAAACAGCAAAGAACCGGCCCACGATGCCTCTGCCAGTGAAAACGGAGCTCGGGAGGGCAGCCCTCTCAAGCTCTGTTTTCACTGGCAGAGGGTTGCAGGAGCCCTTCCACAGCTGAAAACAGAGCTTAGGAGCCCGTTTTCTCTGGCAGAGCACTCAGGCCACCACAGGCACCCCTGACACAAGTGACATCGAGCTGGTCACACACACCCTGGCCACACAGACCCCTAGGTCAAACACAACCCTGATGCAGCCCTCAATGAAATCAAGTTTGGCACCCCTGATCTATGGAATCGCCTCTCTTGCTATGAACTTGACTACTCAGAATAGCAGGAAAAGCTGTTCTGAAGATTCACCTTTGTCAAAGTTTCAACCATCTGGCACATGAAAAGTGACTTCTCCTGCATGGTACAAGGTTGTTGTTTTTAAAAAAAACAACTTTTACTTGTGTTGTTAAAAATTAATTCAAGCAAGTAAATTGTCTTAGGGTTGTAATGGCTACATTTGATTTTGAGGAGAGAGAGAGAGAGTACCCTCAAAGGGAGAGTTAGTGTGATGGACTACAGTGCAGTGGTAGTTTCTCAGGAAGGAGGGAGCATAATGAGAAAGACGAGCGAGACAAGAGGCAGCACAGCCCAAGAGGCTGGATAGGAGACAGAGGAAGAGAGTAAGAATAGCCACTCCTTAGGATCTCTGAAGGTATATTTGTTAAGGTGAGCGTAGTAAGGATTTGGACTGGCAAGGTTCTGTCTATTAGCTGTAAGCAAATCAAGCACTGAACTCTAGCTGAATTGTTCTGTCAACCTTGGACTTAGCCTGACAGGAGGGAGAGAAAATGGTAAAAAGTAAACATCTAAGCAAACAACCATGATCAGAATATCTTTTTAAAATGCATTTTAACATTGTATACTCCCCACTTATTGCAAGGAAACATTTTCAGTACTTTAAAAACTACGGCATACACTATTCTAATCGGCAATGTTATATGTACAGAAGAGTTGTGATTAAGCTGTAATGATCAATGTTTGAAAATGTAATACTGACTGACTTAATATTTACAATTGACTTAATATTTACATTTAATATTCTCAGCCCCTTGTTCTCAAGGCAGCAGACAGCATCCAAAATACTAAAGTAGTCCAAGACTGGATAACCAGTGACCTTCCAGATATTGTTAGGCTGCAATTTCCACCGTCTCTCACTGGTGACCATAATGCCAAGTGCTGTTGAAAATTGGAGCTCAACAACTGAAGAAACCCATACACTTGTCATAGTTACACATAAGCACATTCAAATCAGTGGTACAGGTTAGTTACAGTGATCTTAACCTTCTCTGGTTTCAGTGTGTGTGGGGGGGTGTTTAAGTGTGACTAAGTCTGGATCCAATGTAGTAATAACAACAAGAATAACAACCATTTATAAACAATCTGGAACCTAGATCAAATATTCAAAAATTAGAATAACAAAAGGCATGGAAAGAGAACAAAATGTTTCTTTTAAAATACCAATTTTGACCACTATTAAATAAAGGGTCAACAGATCACTTGGAGCAGGGAATTACACATACTGGTGTCACACAAGGGCAAATAACAGGATTCCTGAGGATCACTGCAGGGGACAGCCTCGTATGGCAATTTTTTGAATAATGTAGAGCCAATTAGGAGCACTTTGGATGATGCTCAGAAGCAAGTCTAACTGATTAAATTGAACAAAATTGAAGCTATGTATTAATTTACACAAACCGTACTTTAACTTGCATTTGTAACTTTAATGCATTCTCTAAATACTAAAGTCTGCACAGGCAACCTCCTATAAAAAGCATTAGAGAAAATCTAGAGATTAACAAGGGTGAATTCTTGATTTACTACTCTTTGAAATTCCAAAGTTGCCTCCATACAATATAGTCTAGTATCTATAGAGGAACGAAGATTGACCCATGGCTACTACCTCTGTATCACATCTCTATTCCAGCATTCCATGTTATATGACTTTTTTTGTTTGCAGAAATATAAGATTTCACTTTCAAATCTAAGCATAGCAAACTTGCAAGCCGAAAAGGAACAAAGCATCAAGGATGTGTTCAGCAGTGGGGATTCAACCATCCTTTTTCTCTCTATGCCTTGAGACTTTGGAAAGAGGGCTATATATTTCATACAGACAAAGAATCTATATTAACATATTAATGTTCATTTTAAAGCATTTTCCTATTACTAATTAATCTTTTACATTTCAAACTACAGTATTATTTTCTCATAAAATTAAAAAATGAATGTTAAAGTCTTAGCTTTCTGGCTTTTTTATACTTATTGTAGCCTTATTAACCCCTAACCTTAGTCCTCTTGTTTTATCCACTGCTCTTGGTTGTGACTTTTCTTTTTGCTACACATTTTGAAATACTGAACATGTAAGTACAAATAGAATTTCAAAATCCTAAAATAAGTCCACTGCTTTTGGACATACAGATGATGACACACATTGTTCTTAAAAGGCTACTATTTAGAGAGCAAAGATGGTGCTAATATTAATAACCTGTACAGAATTGTCTTTGGAATTTAAGTTTTCTGCCCAATATGGATTCTCTGGTGAGAAATAAGGTGCGATTTCTGATTGAAATTCTTCCCACAGTTGGGACACTTATATGGTTTCTCTCCAGTATGAAGCCGTTGATGAATAACAAGCCCAGAATTGAAGCTAAAACTCTTCCCACAATCCTGACATGTGTATGGTTTCTGCCCTGTGTGAATGCCTTGATGCGAAATAAGGTGTGATCTCTGGTTGAAGCTCTTTCCACAATCAGAACATTTATATGGTTTCTCCCCAGTGTGGATCCGTTGATGTATGATGAGACCAGAGTTGTAACTGAAGCTTTTCCCACAGTCGGGGCACTTGAAAGATTTTTCTCCCATATGGGTCCTCTGATGCGACAGGAGATGAGATTTTTGGCTGAAGCTTTTCTCACAGTTGGAGCACTTATACGGTTTCTCCCCGGTGTGAATTCGTTGGTGTATGATGAGCCCAGAGTTGTAACTGAAGCTCTTCCCACAGTCAAAGCATTTAAATGGCTTCTCGCCCGTGTGGGTCCCATGGTGAGAAGTGAGATGGGATCGCTGGTTGAAGCTCTTGTCACAATCAGGACATTTATACGGCTTCTCTCCTGTGTGGATTCTCTGATGGACCATAAGTCCTGAGTGATTGCGGAAAGTTTTCTCACAAATGATGCAGAGATACGGCTTCTCTCCTAAATGGAGAATTTGAGGTCTATTAATGCCTACATTGTGGCAGAAGCTATTTTCCTGTTTGTTAGGGGTAATTTTACTTTCTTCGATGTGGATCAGTTGCTGGATTAGTATTTGGTCAAGACGTTTTAAATTCCCATCCTTGCACTGACTAGCTTTGCCTTGTGTTTTATCAGAAGCAGTTTTTTCTCTTCTCTCTGGCAGCAGATTGTAGTGACTTTCAGTCCCCCTCTCTTGTTTACATCTTTGAGAGCTACTCTCTTTAGATCCTCCTCTAAACATCACCTGCATTTCTACATGCTCTGGTTCTTCTTTTATGGTTGTCTGCTTCTCAGTTTTGGTTGCCATCCCATCACCTGTTGAAGTAAACCAGATTTTAAACAAAAAAGATGGTTTTCAGTCTTTTCCACCCATAATAACATAGGAGTTAAAGAAAGGAATCCATTAAAAGTTTTTAACGACATTACTTATTGAATCTAACCCAAGAATAATCTCCAAAATTATGTTACAGCAAAAGCAATGTCAATTAGTAGTAGTAGTAGAAATTTCAAATGCACAATTATACGTTGAGGAAAATAAAGTTGAGGTATGGAAAGCCAACACCATCTTTCCATTGTACTCCATTGACACACGCTGAAGGACGATTAGACAAACAATTGAATTTATTTTTTAAAACAATAACCAGAATAATAAACACTGTTAGAGAATGTTTGCTTATCTAAGATTCCAGATTCAGAAACTGGCATTTCTGGTTAAGCAGGATCTTCTAAACAAACTTCTGTACACATAATTTCATACTCCAAGTATCAGATTTAAAATAATCCATGGGGAATGTAAGTAAATTTTACTGGCTGCAATTCTGTGGTGTTGGAAAACATGGATAATTTCCAGTTTATACCCAGAATGCGCTCAAGCAACATCAAAGCAAGAACATGTGCCACTCAGTTCAGCTAGAAAAAATATATAACTTGACATTATTAAACAACAGCCAATATCACATAGTTAATTGGCACAACCTGATCAAAATTAGGCAAGTGCAGGGAGAGACACAAACAAGAACTTACATTACAGGAAGTTCTCAACTTATGACCACAATAGGGATCAGAAAAATTGTTATTAAGCAGGGTAGTCATTAAGCAAATCTTCATCTGACTACCCGATTTTTGGTACTTTTTGCCACAGTCATTAAGTAAATCAACAGCAGTCTTTAAACAAGACATCTCATGACCATGACTTGCGACCCTCTGCTGGCTTCTCCACTCACTTCGCTTGGATACTGCCAGTGTCATAGTTACCAGACAGATGCCAAGCTCCTGAACCACAATCACATGACCATGAAGATGCTGACAGCCTTCAGTGCAAGGATCAGTTGTAAGCTCCTTTTTTCAGTACATACATTCATTAACTTCAGTCACTAAAAGAATGGTCATTAAGCAAAGACTACCTGTAGTTACATGTCTCTAGCTATACATCAAAAGGACACAGTCACTGGAAACTATACTGAGGATAATTAGCATAAATCCCCAAGGGACTGGCCTTTGTTTATTTCAGCTTTAACTCCTTTAAGTACATAATAGGAACGGACTACAAATGGAAAGCAGGTGATCCAATCTCAATTCTGCACCACAAAGGAAACAACTTGATGAGGAGGATGTATGTAGCATGTGGAAGGAAAGCTGAAATTCTCTCCCCATCTGTACTATTTTCCTTTGAAAATTCATTCTGAGGCAGTATGAAAAACACCTCTGAAAAGCCCATAAGCAAATGCTTTCAAGCAGCATCTGCTTCTTCCCACAGTATTCTTCAAAATGTCTCTGCTATACCTTTAGAGATACTGTTACACATGCAGTAGCAGAGTAGTACTCCAAAAGAAAGATGATAATTAGATTTATTGCCAAAAGCTAGGAAATTAATATGCCACCTTACAAACTGTATAAGCCAAATTCTAACACTCATTTATTAATGAATTCTTTAGGGTGGAAGAATCCAAAAATTGTCTGAACTTCTTGTTCTTTGAATGGCACTCTGTCCAAGAAATTGACATTACTGAATACCTCAAATGTGAAAATAAAAAGGAAGATCTTGTGGTGGAACGCTTGGATTACACAAAAGATTAATACTTTAAATCAGCTGATTACTAATGATGGTTTTAACTATTTTGAGAAATTGCCTTTTGAGATTGATGTGTCTGCCTATGTGCAATATGATATATTCAGTTGAAACATATGTTAATCGGTTTGGCTGAAATGCTTTAACAATCTCTGGGCTACCTGTAATTTTAGCTTCATTATAAGATGCAATGTTTGAATGGAAAAGGTGAAATGGAAGTCACAGCTAATTAAATATTTGAAGCTGGAATGAAAAATTTGGAATACCCAGTTTTAGAAAATCAATTGGTCTAAAAATTAAAAAATGAAAAATATACATCTTATGATTGATAAATAAAACATATTTATCAGAAAACATTATTTGGGGTTTACTGGACCATTCAATTGTTTTAAAAAGGATAGACATTATGTTCCTTGATGTTTGAAGACCCTTTAACACATATGATTTGGTCACAGCCTTATTTGTGTTTAGATTTACGAAAGTATGTTGATATAATATTGGGAAGAAATATTAAGGATCTCAAAGGGATATTGAATTATATCCTTAAAATGGGATTTGTTGTCTCATAAAGAATGTTGAGCTTGAGGTAAGGCAAAGAAGATAATTTTAAATAATTGGACAGAAACATACTTTCCTGATTTTAAGGATGTGAATTACCTGTTTTGGAAAAGCCTTTGTTTTCTAAAAGTAAGATGAACATATGTTGTCATATGGCCTATATTTACTTAACAACTGGATTAATTTTCTATGTTTATATTATATGGATTTTTCTGTTAGTTTTTTTTCTTTTGCCACATTTAGTTTATTTTAATCACTATAACAGATTTATCTTTTTTATTCCACTACATAAACACTAAACCTTTGGGGGTGTTGTGCAGACTTTTTAAATATTTCACCATTTCAAATCAATTTTTTAAAAGGCTGATCATGGAATATCCATCAGCTCATTGTCAATAATATTGAGATAATCCTGTTTCTTTCCCAGTCTGAGGTCTCACCTCTGTTGCAGACCTGATGATAGAGAAGAAATTATTGTTTCATATTGTTTTGTCTCAAAATTGTTTAACTATTGTATATTTTCCAGTGTCATAGCTAAGTTCAGCATCAATTAATTAAATAAATAAAATGGTAATCCATGTGGGATTAGAGACCACTATTCGAGCAATTCTATTTATCATTACAAATAGCTGAAAGCTTCATCAAAATAATTCTGGATTATTTATCCAGAAACATCTGCAAGAAAACAAGCAAACTCAGAGAGCACCAAGCACCCCTCATGCATATGCTAAAAACATATGGTGCAAATTCAAGGAGATAAGCACATCAGCAAAACAAAAACAAAAGCCCTTGAGCTTAATTGCTTCAGTCTTGCAAATTGCTTGTTTACATTGACCTAGAGAAAGTAAAAACTATCAAATAGAGCTCAACTCCTGATTGAGTTTTCTTAGCAACAACATGGAGGTAATTTGATTGGGATGCTTTTCAATTTTCCAGAGTATTTTCTGCAATATTTCTCACACCCAACCCTGCTTAGCTTCCAAATCCTGACAAGGTCGGCCAAGGTCTGCATGATGATATGTCAAGTGAACCATCGACTTCCTATCCATTAATAACACCATCCATAGGGAAGCAGGAACAGTCAGCACCTGTTATTTCATTTTTCTGCTTGCAGAAGCCTACAATCAACTGGCTGGCCATTGTCTTGGCTGGAATGCCAGATGAAACAGATTTTGCCCACAGGGCTCATTCAAAACAACATACTGTATTCTCAAGCAACCCCCAACCTGACAAACGAAAAGAATCGCTTCAGTTTGTGTCATTAAACAGGAACTCCGTGCTTCAGTTTAATTCACTAAATATCAATAAAAAATATTTGTATAGAGTGCAGGTTCCAAACAGAGCGGCAGGTTAAAAAATACCAGATACAAGTCGACCCCTAGTATAAAAGGTTTTCTGCGATAAGTATTTCTTCCCTACATTCCACCTTACAGGTCTGCCTTTTACCTGACCCACTGCCAGTTTAATTCGGAGTTATCTCGGAACTGATGATAGTCTTCACTCTGGTCGAGTGATGAAGCATTGATTCGATGTCCGCTGGCCCACTTATCTCGGTCCTATCTATCTTGCAGCGTTCACGATGGCGGCAAATCTATTTACTACAGGAAGTTCATCCTCCTGGCTCAGCGGAGCGAAATGGAAAAGCTCAGATACTTCCTAGGAAACAGTAAGCAGAGCCCTCTCCTGGCAAGATAGAAGAGGAGCTTCTTCTACGCCGAAAAACCACTTATTTTAGGTGCCGCCCAGGAGAAGGTTTTTAAATTGCCAATGCCTTTTTCTTCAAAGTGAGGAGTAAAAAAAATCACCCTAGGCAAGTACAGTACAAAGCTAGCACATCAAGAGAAATTGTTTTGCCAGCTCCACATCACAATGTTTGTTTTTAATTTTCAGGGAGCTTTATTGCTATTTACTGGCAGGGTACTACTACATTCAAAAACATAATTTCCACCATGGCTCCTCTAAAATTATGCTGATTATTCAGAAATCCATACTATGTTTCATTTGAATGTACTATAAGTACTATGTACTATCCAGTCTGGTGAATAGTGTGTGTGTTAAAAAAATTCTGGGCAGGTACTACCTTATCAGTAGCAAGTTTGGTGCAAGAGCCCCTAATGCTTCATGTCTATACAAACTAGGATTGTCATGCTGCCTCAGATGTTACATGGATTAACAAGGTCCATGTCAGATGTTGTGAGGAACCAGGACAATCTGGGCTATTGGAACAAAACCATACATGGAGAAGACAAGAGATCTGGAACTGATGGATGCTACTACAACAGTAGGCCTAATGAGCGAAAAGACCAAAGTGATCCCAGTGGTGGTTGGAGCCCCTGTGGTTATGATTCCTAAACTGAGAGTGTACATCCAACATATTCCAGGAACAAGCTCAAAGCTCTCTGTTCAGAAGAGTGAAGTACTAGAAACCAGTTAGGATTCTAAGCAGAACCTTCCAACTTCCATGCCTCTGGTAGAGGATCTAAGACACAGACCACCCATAAGGGTGAAAAGGGAATTATTATATTGTAAAATAATATTGTATAACTACATAGATATGTTAATATTACTAGCATACTATATATAAAATGCACTTTATATATGTAAGTATTATCTAGAATGTTAAAATGTGACAGTAGAATTATGAGGAAGTTTCCATATTCACTAGAAGGAGCTATTTTTGGATGCATCCCTGTGGTGAAATAAAAATCTCAGCATATCAAAGATTCTTGGTGTCTGAGTTGCACTTATTATCCCTATATTATATTTTTACCCTGCCATTTTAATATATAACTCAAAACAGCAAGCATATATCCTCCTACCTCCTATTTCCCTGCAACAACAACCTTTTGAGGTGGGTTGGACTGAGAAAGAGTGACCTTCCCAAAGTCACCCAGCCAGTCTCCTGATTTTTATGGTTAGATTTATATTAAGAGGGAGGAAAGGCAATTATCAAATTACTATCCAGTCAGATAAGTATATAGAATTTGCAAACTTTATGCAGGCTGCTCTTGGCTGCCTAGTGAAAACATTTTTTTGTGAATAGAAATGCTGGTTTGTGGGTGAGCCAATAAATTGGGAATTCTATATTCCCTCAGCAATTTATGTTTTCCAGGGCAAGGCAGGTGCAAAGGGCTGTGTTTAGAATGACTTCTCTGTCTTGGAGGCAATGCAATAAATTCTTGGGGGCTCCTTGGTGTGTTCCCCATCCCACACTTCCTTGTTCTTGGAGGCAGAAGCTAGTTTAGTAACAGTCTGAGACTGGATAAGTAAACTAACTTAAACTTTATATTCTGTTATGAGAACTCAGGAAGAGGAATGATTGAACCCATGCCCAGCAACAACTAGGTTACAACCTCTCAGTATATTTATTTTCTCAGAATGCTCACAGTTTTTATAACATCCATGGCATTCCATCAAATTAGAATGTTGCTAGCTTTGGTGGTGCTTTGAGAAATATCAACTTCCCATTAGTTTCTTTTTAATTAAAATTAAAATTTAAAAATATCAGCTTTCCGTTAGTTTCTTTTATCAGTTTCCCATTTAGTTTCTTTTAAATTAAAATAATATTTTAAAAAAGTAAGGTGGAGCAGGGAAATGTTATGCTTATTAACTTTACTTCATAAAAGAATGTCCTTGTACACAGGTTGCTTACAATCTAAACATTAGATCAAAACAATGTATTTTATCTTGGTTAGAGGAAAAAAGAAAAATATGGCATCCAAAAATAGAGTGCATCTTAGTGTTCAAATTTATATAGACTTTTCTACAGTGTGGATCTTCTGATGCCTACTTAAATGTGATATCCACCTGAAGCTTTTCCCACACTCTGAGCATGAATAGTGTTTCTGTCCTGAATGTATCTTCTGGTGTGTAAGAAGGCTTGTGTTCACATGGAAACCTTCTCCACAGTCCGGGCATTTAAAAGGCTTCTCAGAGGTATGCACTCTTTGGTGCTTGATTAGAACTGAGCTGTAACTGAAGTTTCTCCCACATTCAAGGCACTTGTACGGTTTCTCTTTTGTGTGTATCCTCTCATGGATAAGGAGGTTGGAGGTCCGATTGAAACATTTCCCACAGTCTGAACACCGGAAGGGTTTTTCACCTGCATGTTCAATCTGGTGCCTGATGAGATCAGAACTATATCGGAAGTTTTTCCCACATTCTAAACACTTGTAATGTTTCTCCCCTGTATGAGTTCTCTGGTGGATAATCACATGGGAAGAGTGATTGAAACTTTTCCCACAGGTCAAACAAGTGTAGGGTCTTTCTCCTGTGTGGATTCTCTGATGAGCAATGAGGTGTGAACTCTTGCTGAAGTTCTTCTCACATTCAGTGCACTTGTAGGGTTTTTCGCCTGTGTGAACTCTCTGATGGGCACTGAGAGCACAGCTTCTATTGAAGATTTTCCCACAATCAGGACATGGATGCTGTTTCTTGGACGCTGGCTTTTTTTGCTGAATTGGCTGTTCCTTGGAGTTTCCTTGCAACATGATGGACTTTATTCTTCTGGATCCAGAGTTTTTGACATTTTGTTTCTCTGTTCTCTTCTGGTTTTTAGAAGTTTCTTCTTCCTGGGAATTACTCTTTTGGGGTATTCCTCCCACTTTTCTGTGTAGTTGTATCTGTCCTGGATTTTTCTCCTTGGAAGCGTTTTCCATTTTTTGTCCAGTGGCTGGAATAGAAGCAAAAATAAATAGTTTTGACATCATATCACCTATCTGGGGGAAAGCAAATCATAAATGGTATCTAGGAAGCATCTTCTTGAACTTGGGGGACTATATACAACATTCCAGAGGTGATTATTTCAAGCAAATCTGTACAATGGGTCAATTTATTGCCTCCTCCATACCTCCCTGCTGAATCTAAAACACAGTACAAAATGAACTCATGAACTAAATTCAATTCTTGAGAACAACATGTACATTGGAAATTATTTGTCTTTGCCACCTTCTGCAAAAATCAAACAAATCCCACCCACCCCCAGTCTTGCTTATAGCTTTAAGATTCCCTGGAAGTCTCCCAGCCAACTAACAGGTCAGGCCAGTGGTGGGATTCAATTTTTTTTACTACAGGTTCTGTGGGCATGGCGTGGCTTGGTGGGTGTGGCAGGGGACGGATACTGCAAAATCCCATTCTGTCCCCACCCACTAACCTGCTTTTCAGCTCTGTTCTCCTGTGCAGGGTAACAAAAGAAGACCCGACCGGTCAGCTGGGACTCGGGAGGCAGAGAATAGATGGGGGTAGGACCAGTTTGCTGATTCTCTGAACTACTCAACACTTCCGCTACTGGTTCTCCAGAACTGGTCAGAACCTGCTGAATACCACCTCTGGGTCAGACTCAATTTAAGTATTACCCAGAGTTAGATATGGTAACTGAAAAGTTTATCGTTTAAATAAGAGATGAACTTCTGAGTAATTTGCAGCCTTCTAACTTTAAATACAGTACTACATTTCATTAGATCAACCATAATCAAGCCATTCTTGTAGGAAATGGAATGTGTAAAAGCAAAGTGATCATTGACAGTTAAAAAGAGCATAATTTTAACTGATAGGTTTCCCCTAACCAGCTCATTAAATAAAATGCTACAGGCAAGATACCTTTGATTTTTAAAAAAAGAGGTATCATGCAGGGGAATATAATTGACATAACATCTTTAGTTCTGAAAAAGTGTCAATTTAAAGATAAAGAGTACAAAGGGGTTTTGCTGAATTATAACCTTGTGCAACCCCAACCAGCTCAGTCAATAATGGGAGCCTCTATATGTTGTGACCCAGCATGACTCTCCACTCTGGATTAAATTAGCATGTCCCATCACTTGAACACTCATCCTGAATGTTTTGCAGCTGAACAGTCATTTATTGTTATTGTTATACAACAAAACATCAGATTTTTTTTACCAACTCCCTCATTCTATGCTAAAGAAACACTGAGGGTTTTGTACCAGATGTGTTTCAAAAGGCTTATATTGCAAACATCAGCTAACAACTGTAAAATAAAATTGGCTTCAAGTCTAGGCAATATTTGAGGGCGGATTCAGTGCCATCATTTCCCCCCTATTTAAATAAGTTGAAGTGCTTTCTTTGCAGCGACTGTTGTGCTGTTAAATCTCTGTGTACAGTAGTGAGATTGTCTTTGGACCAGATGCTCTTTTGGCTTGTGCCATATCCCCTGACTATGCAAGGCCATGCTTTCTTAACCTTGTCCTCTACTGATTCGTTAAATTAATAACCAACATGGCCATATTGGCTGGGAGTGCTGGGAATTCTAACTGTATAATGCATGAAAGCTATTAGATTTGGGCAAACTGGAATACTGTACTGCGTCTGGCATGATGTGCAGCCAGCTGAGATTTCCATGAAGACTGATACAGTTCCCCAAAAATCTTACTGTGGTAGGATGCATAAAATTAGCATACAGAGAATGAGCTACAAGGGTGAAATGCAGCACTTAGAAAGACAAAGGACAATATCACAGGATGGACTGTATTGCCCCCTACAGTTGGATCAGCAGCAAGCTAATAAAATGCATTTGATTGATCTTGGTTTCTGTTTCTCTGTCTCTCTCTCTCAAAAAAAAAAACCCTATGCATAATCAGACTTAAACAGTACTTGGGTGGGAAACTGCCAGGAAATCTCAGGGCTGCAGACTGGACTGAGAAGTCTAAAAACATGCTGGAAGAAGGTGATTGCAAATCACTCCAGTATTACTGTATTGCCAAGAAAATAAGATAGCCATGTTCATGAAGACACCAAGAGTTCAACTTGGCGCAAAGAAGACTTGAGGTTATGTACAGTAACACGTGGAGTAGCATTTTGATATGGTAGTTAAAAGTACCAGGTCAGCGACCAAGAAACCATAAGTTCTAATCTTGTCTTCAGCAGAAAGCCCTCCAGGTTAGTTGGTACCCAAAAATCCCATTTAAATGAAACTGTGAGAAATCACACTCAGAACCATCTACGGTACATGCAAAAATGTTCATGACTAATTATGATTCCAACTTACCAACGAAGACAAAACAAAATAAAATATATGGATAGGACCACATCTCATGGACTACAGTTCACAAAAACATTCATAATAAATTAAGATGTTACAAGGCATGCTATTACCGTATTTTGACAGGAGAGTAACAATCCTTACATGCTTCAGCTTTCGTGCAAAAAAATCGCAATAGATTAAAAGTGTGCTTCTATTGATTTTTATTGATTTTAACTCCTCCTAATATAGATTTGTTGAATTACAACTGTTGCTCTCCTACTCCCTAAGCTTCCAGTACCTTAGAGATTTTGAACAAATGTTCCTCCACATCCACCCCCCCCAAAACTAACAATTTAGCAAATAAAAAGTATGAGATCTGATTGTGTACTTGACTCTGAGAATACATAAGAATAAGAATAGAATAGAATAGAATAGAATAGAATAGAATAGAATCTAACACATTACATCTCCACATATAACTCGGTCAAAATAGTTCCCTATCCTTTCCTTTTCCCTTTACACACACCGATCCTCCTTAATTCTCCAGTTTAATTATTCTCCAAAAGCATTTCCTTCTTCTCCACCAAGGATCTGTAGGTCCGTTCAATTCTTTTTCTTTTCCCCACCAAAGGCTGTTCCTAAGTCAGGGAGAAACTTCCAGCATTTAACCAAGCCCGGCTTGCGAAGGACCTCAGTCTCCACTTTGGTCGGTCAAAGTACTCCCAGCAACCTCCGAAGTGAAACAGACCTCCAAGGCCACGCTGTCGCAGCTTCCTCTCTGACCAAGTCAGATGTTCCTCAGTAGAGAGGAAGAGGGAGCGACTTCCTCTTGCCTTCCCTAGCTGAAATCGAGAGACCTCTGGCGGCCAGCATAATTTTCAACATCGGAATATTTTATTTATTTTTGTTTTCTTTGCCCATGGGGAGAGCAAGATTATGTTGACGAGGAAGACAAGCAAACAACCAAAAGCATCTTTGCCACGTTAAAGGCAGAGAGACTGTTGAAAGTCCCGCATAAACTGAGATCCAGCAGATAGAAAACCCTCTCCTGGTAGCTCGGCGAGAAAGAGCTGGGCAAGGGCACGATGGAGAGCCGGAAGGCAAGGACAAGCAAGACGTGGAAGCGTGTACTGTATTCATGCCAATCTGCAGTACTTTGGCAGAATAGAATATTTTATTATTAAAATAAAAACAAAAAACCAAACATACCAAGCAATTTTAATTTATTTATTCGTGTTTTTTTTATAATTTTAAAAAAGACCTTTGAAGACACTAACTTTCTTTTCCTCTGGTCATCTATTGTATCATAGTTAGAGCTGCCTCGATTTTATTGTGATTTTTGTATACAGCCCTCAGATTGAATATATTGTTTTACTATTTTTTGACGTTTTTTATTAAGTTTTTGTGCCACCTATCTCCCCTATGCCTGGACTTTTAATTTTGGACTTTTATATTTCACTTAGTTTTAAGCACAATATAAATATTAATTGACATCATACAAAATACTAAAATGAATAATTTAGTAATTACACTAATTATGTTGATGTTAATAGATTATATCCACCTCCACAAAAAAAATGAGTTTAAATGACAAAGAAAAAAATTAAAGGTGTTGGTGAGGAAACAGAATTATAAGACACCAAATTTGGAGGTTAGGATAATTATATGGAATCTCTCTATCGTCATCCTATATTTTTCTGATAAAGAACTAATGTCCAGGAAACACACGGGATATGGAAAAGAGGCTCTCTGAAGTCCGCCGATATCCAAAGTTAGGACCACGCAGGGCGGCAGCCGCCTTGTTTCACAATAGCAGTCAACCTGTCCTTGATTGCAATTCACGAGCAGAAACAAAAGGGACATCAACGGGAATGTTGCATTTCCCCTCTTCCCTATATTTTCCCTTGCTCGACCTCCTTTACCCTCATCAAGTTTTCACAGGAACAGCTGTATAGCTATTCTGCCATTTAACTCCGAAAACTGATTTTAGCCAGAGTGAAGTTTTCACTCAGGTCCGACGCTTTCGCCCTTCCTCCACCTTAGCAACAGAAGCAACAACCGGGGGGCGGGGGGCGTTGAGGGAAAGAGTTGCCTACTGCCTTCTAGCGGCTTCGGGCCAGGCGCGAATTCCAGAGACCAAGGACTGAGCACGAGCCTAAAGATTCGCATTCTGTATTATTCTCATCTGTCACCTTGGATTTTTCTCTATCTCGAAGGAAAAACGATCGGCAGCCACCCTGATTTTCACGCGGAACTATTGATTTGCTGCGCCTGCAGTTACGCGGCCTCCTGCACAATAACGGAATATCATTGCACGAAGAAAGTGAGACGAGCGAAACAACCAATACTTCTGGCTAGATTCGTTATACCTGAACTAAGTCCTGACAACATCGGAGGACTGGTCTTGAGAAATAAACCAGATAGTTTTAGCTCCAGATGTGAGGCACTCCCATTACATGGAAAAGGCTTGCGGGTTTGACTGCTGCTTGACGATGTGCCTTTTTCCCCCCTCACCCTGCAGCTGTAGTCATTTTTCTCCTTAACTAAAGCTATGAGGCTCTTCTCATGTAGCTATTTCATCAAGTTTGGGGGATAGATTAATAGCTTTTGATATCTTTTTGGAATGTTTCACAACTTCTTTGTATGACAGCTTTTTAAAATCTTTATTATGTATTTATGGCAATCCACACTGAGGATTGAACAAATAATCTGCCCCTCAGTGTCTGTGGATTGAAACAACCTACAAACCCTTTAAATGAAAAAACAAAAACAATAAAAAGCAGAGAACTGGAGGGAAATACAGTCATTACAGTACTTATATTAGAAAGCAAATATAGATAGAGTATTAATTCATTGGTTTTCAAGCTTTTTTAGGCTTTAGAATCTATTAGGTTTTTTTTAATCCCACAATCCTTGATTAAGATGCAAAGCTCCAGTGATAGAAAATTAGCTGTATCTGAATGAACTTTTTTTATATATAGTTTTTGCCGTAACTGCATCAAATTCTCACAGAACACTAGGGTTCTAGTTTTTAAACCCACCATTTGAAAACCCTGTACTATTTAAGGCCAGTCCAGCAAGCTGAGAAAAGGGATCCTTCAAATGTAAACCCAGAATGCGCAATTGATTGTACTGGCTTTAGTATCTATCATGTATTCAGTTGCATGTTGTGATAGTCATGAAACTGATTGGTCATGTGATTGATCCAATGTTATCTTTTTTGTGTGTGATGGTCATTAGGTGAATGCTGCAAAGTTTTAAGCAAACAGATTGTTAAGCGAACTAATGGTTCACTGTGGACATAGTTTTCCCCCAAAATCGGAATTTTGCCAAAAAGCAAAACTGTTGTAAAACACGGTCATGTTACTGTGGGACACTGCAAATGGTCATAAATATGGCCATTTTGACTAGCGCCATAAATTTGGTCATATGACTGTGGTGGGGGCCCGACTGTCGTAACTTCAAAACTGGATCGTAAGTCCCTTTTACTAGGTTGGTCATAACTTCAGACACTAAGCAACCAGTCAATAGTTGAGGACTATGTGGCTGAAATGATTCACATGCTTCTGGCAGGACTAGACAGCTGAGAAAGAGCTGATGAACGCTCAACTGTATGAACGTATTTAACTATTTTCTCTTATTCCAGAGAATATCAGAGCATAGCCATATTGACAAGCTGGAAATCAAATCCACATAGAGACAAATTAAAGGCTGAAAGTGAATGCAATCTGAAGTATATGGATTCTATTGCATACCTTTCTGCATTTTCCGTACAAAGTGAATTGTATTCCACAACAGCCTATGCCAGTATCGATCTGTTGCTCTTTTAGAGTAACTGTACACAGTGCAATCCTCTCTTTATGACCAACACAAATGCCACTTTAGAATCTGACAAATTTTATACTAATTTATGTACTAGGAACATTTTCAGTCACCATTCTTGAAAATTAGGATACTTTTATCAGTTACAAATAAATGTTCCATTTCTGTGAATGCTTTACCAAAGACTTTGTAAAGGACCTGTACTTATATACATTCATATACTGTATATTCACACAAAGTTTGCAAACCTTGTTACCCTTTGATTTAAAAATGGTCTTTGAACTCATTTAAAATTTTTAAAAAATAAAATTTTAAAATTAAAATTTTCCTGACCTAATTTATTTCAAATAAACTGTATTATGACTCCCATTCTGCCTTCTCGAGCTTGGATGATGGAAGCTGTATCCTAAAACGTCCGAAAGCACCAAGCTGGAAAATCTTAAAGAGTAGGATCTAACACTATAGCAAGAATATCTTGTTGGGCAATGGAAGAGAATTAGGAAATGGGACATGGAGAAGGAGAAAGGAACAGATCTTGCTGGACAAACTATTCAGTAAAGGCACTAATTTATTTCTGAGTTGGAGCTGAAGACTTTTTTTTTTACAAAAAATGTTTATTAGTGTCAGAATCTACATGCAGTATATTTTTCCTAGTCCTTATCCTACTCATCCTGGGTTGTCATGGCATAATAAATTTGGACTTCTAACATCCCAAGGACTCAGTCAAAAACACAGCAGCTGGATTGTAGATGGGCTTTAAAGTAATAAGAAAGGATGCCATTTTTAGCCAACAACACTTTTCTACAGGACAAAAAGAAAAGCAGATTATAATTTTCCATTTCCCAAACTCTTACCACAATCAACCATTTCTTAGCTTGAAGTTCTTCAGTTTAATGGGAGAAGATTCCAGGGGCCCAGTTCTAATTCTAATCACCTCCAAGAGCGGAAAATTATGTTGACCTTCAGAGGAGGAAATCTAACATCAGGTAATATTTTCCATCCTCTGCAAAAACCTTTGGGGTCCCTATAACTCTTACATGTCTGAAGATGGAAGACCTTTCATTCACAAGAGAGATGCACACTGGCTGCAGAATTAACATCCATCCCTTGTCTCCCATTGGTCCAGGATGAGGCTATCATCAAAAAGAAAGTCAAGGAAATTTAAGAACCACAATTTACTCTCTCTCCCCACCCCACCTGAAAGCCCAGTAGGAGCCCGAGTAGGAGTTGGATGAGCAGTTCTGTTGCGTTCATCCTTCATCTTTAAGGATTACTTTGGCCTGCAGGTTATTGGGTTGTAGGCAAAAAGTATAGCCATGGGCTACATTCAGACCACGAGCAACATTTTTGTGATGAGTTGGGGCCAATCCTTCTACATTCCCCTGTTCTGAATACTTTGGGGGCTCAGGAGATGAAGAGGCAAAATGAAAACCTTAAGGCCTACTCTGGCTTAAGTTGCCAATTTCATCCCATAAAACTGGTCAACTCTCCCAGCCTTCCTTTTTTTGTAATCTGGTCACTCAAAAGCCTGGTCCAGTGCTTGACTCACACTCACCTACCAGGTTTTCTGACGATTGTGAAGTTTCTGGTGAGCAATAAGAGGCGATTTTTGACTGAAGCTCCTCCCACACTCGGAGCAAACATACGGCTTCTCTCCCGTGTGGGTCCTAATATGTTGGGTCAGGATGGAGCTCACCCGAAAACTCCGCTCACATTTGGGGCACTTATAAGGTTTCTCTCCTGTGTGGATTCTCTGATGTTTACTGAGAGTGGAGAGAATGGTGAAGCCCTTCCCACAATCGGGGCACTGAAAAGGCCTTTCCCCTGTGTGAATCCTCTGGTGCACACTGAGATGGGAGCTGCGATTAAAACTTTTCCCACATTCCAGGCACAAAAAGGGCTTTTCAGCTGTGTGGACACGCTGGTGCTCTATAAGGCTCGAGCTCACACTAAAACTTTTTTCACAGTCGGGACATTCATAAGGTTTCTCCCCCGTGTGGCTTCTCTGATGAGTCACAAAATTGGAGCTTTGACTAAAACTTTTCCCACACTCGCCACATACATAAGGTTTCTCCCCCGTGTGAACACGGTGGTGCTTGATGAGATCTGCTTTGTAACTGAAACTCTTGTCACAGTCTGGACATTTGTAAGGCTTTTCTTCCATGTGGATTTTCCGATGTCTACTCAGGGTTGAGCTGGCCCCGTACCTTTTACCACATTCGGGGCATTTGTAAGGTTTCTCACCAGTGTGGATCCTTTGATGGGTGCTGAAGTTCTTACTGTGAGTGAAACATTTCCCACATTCCAGGCACTTATACAGTTTATCTGTGGGGCAGACTTGCTGAGGTTCGGAATGATCTGACTTGCCCAAAAGGTTTTCCCCAAAGTTGGGGCAACGCAAGCATTTTTCTCCCATTGCGGGATCCCTTGTGAATTTCTTCACCAATTGTTATGTAATTCTAAGTACCAAAAATTGGTAAGAAGCTACTCTCCTCTATTTTTTTTTTAAAATGTGGAATAAAAATTTAAGTGTTTGCATGAAATAAAAAAGAAGAATCAGTAAATGATGGCGTTGTTTTCCGGAGAATAATAAAATGACGCTTTGGCTAGAATGATCAAAGTATTTCTTTGTTTGATTAGCTTTCGTTCTTGGTCATTACATCTTCTCTTGCCTCTTTAGAATCGTTGCCAGAAAGGGGCAAGATGAAACATGCCTTCCTCTGTGATCTCCTGCCAAGCTAGAAAATTCAGATAAAGGACTTAATTGGCAAAAATTCAGAAAGTCAATTTAATTTGAAATACATTGCCACATTCCCTTAGTTCCTATATTTATTTAGGCAATCAGGTTTAGTCCTGTCGGCTTCATCCCTCAGGGCCAACAGCAAGGGATTGAGGGAATTACATCCAAAATACATAGTTTGTATTAGGGTATGTTTATCTCTGCTTTACCCAATTGGGAATAACGCAGTGTATAAGTAAGGTAAAAGTTCCCCTCGCGCATACATGTTAGTCGTTTCCGGCTCTAGGGGGCAGTGCTCATACAAAGCCAGTACTGTCTGAAAACATCTCCGTGGTCATGTGGCCGGCATGACTAAACTCCGAAGGCACAAGGAACGCTGTTACCTTCCCAACAAAGTGGTCCCTATTTTTCTACTTGCATTTTTATATGCTTTCAAACTGCTAGGTTGGCAGAAGCTGGGACAAGTAACAGGAGCTCAGTGCATTACGTGGTGCTAGGGATTGGAACCGCCGAACTGCCAACCTTTCTGATCAACAAGTTCAGCGTCTTAGCCACTGAGCCACCACGTCCCTAAATCGGTGTATAGATATAGATTAATATTTTCTTTGAAACAAACTTAACTTCTAATGACTATAAGGACATATTCCAGGAAATTTAATCTCCAGATACCAATCATGGATTTTACTTGTCCAACATCCAGGTCACATCTTAACAGTACTCTCTCCTTTATCCTCTCCATTTTTTTCTATAAACCTATTACTAGCATAGCCACCTTCATCTCACTCAACTGCCTAGAATTAAGAGTAGATTTAAAGTGATCAAAAGCAAAATCTTAAATTAAATGAAAAGCGAACAGCCAGAGGAAGAAACCCTGACCTACATCTCAACAGTGCTCACCCTCCATAGAGCTAAATTTGATTGGTGACATTTCTACAGAAACAAGTCTCCCAGTTTGTGTCACAATATACTTCCTAACATTTGTTTCTAGGTCCGTGGAACCTCAAGAGCAGACACTACCGGTAGATGCTAGAGTTACTGTGCAAAATTATCTGCTTCAACTCCAACTATAACATATATGAGTCTCCTCAGCACCACCACTTGCTGACTGTACAGAAATAGAATTGTTTTTCAGATGGATCTCTAAGGCTTTTGGCCACCTGGAAAAGATATTAAGTAAACTGGAGGGGGTGGAAAGTGGGGGAGGGGAATCACAGTCAATTCCAGTCTCCCTGATTCTTGGGATCTTGAAAAAACAAAAAAGCTCCTGAATATAAAATATGCTCAGTTGTTTCTCTCTGTAGAACCATCTAGAACAGGGCTGTCAAACTCCTGGCCCATGGGCCGGATGTGTCACCTGCTGGCCACGCTCCCACCCAATTTAGCAAATGGGGGAAAAGCCCCAATACATCACGTGACGATATGAGTTTGACAATTTTCTAGGGAAACTGGAAGAAATGCTTTTAATGCGTATGGGAGCTTATCACGGCTATAATAAAGAATACTGAATTAACTAATGCATAATTGTACAGGTAATCCTCGTTAGCAACCTACCTTACATGCTGGTTGTGAAAAGTACATGGGACTGGTTAACAGCTAGCATGGAATTCTGTCCTTGAATTCTTAAAGCAGAATAAATAGCAGGAGAATCAGATTTTTGAAGACTCTTCAGAGTAAGGCTCCTCTCCTAGTATAAAGTAAGCACAGCAAAGAAATGCGGGGATAATTTAGGGTTTTTTTATCATGGGCAAGCATACCAGCAAAGAATTTAAAGGAAGCTAGAATCATTCTAATGTCCTTGTTATACCAAATTAATCAACCCCATATGTAACCCCACAGGTCTTGGGTGGGACTTGTTATCTCTTTTATGTTTGTATAAATACAGCCTGTACATGTGTTAACTTTTGTCTGTATGCTTTTTGGTGGATCAATCAATCCTCTCTATCCGCAATGGTCTGAGGAGAGAAAAGCAAGTCCCCTTACTAAGGGTACCCTTACAGGTTGTCTACTGTTGATTAGACAGGAAATCCTCAACTTACGACCACAACTGAGCCCAAAATTTATGTTGCTAAATGAAACATTTGTTAAATGAGTTTGCCCCATTTTACAACTTTTCTTGCCATCATTGTTAAGTGAATCATTGCATTTGTTAAGTTAGTAATACAGTTGTTAGGTAAATCTGGCTTCCCCACTGACTGTTTGTCAGAAGGTTGCAAAACATGATCACATGACCTCAGAACACTTCAACCGTCATAAATGTGAGGCAGTTGTCAAGCATCCAAATGTAAATCACAAGTGGGGGTGGTGGATGCTGCAATGATCATAGGTGTGAAAAACGGTCATAAATTATTTTTTTCAGTGCCGTTGTAACTTCGGTCACTAAACTAACTGTTGTAAGCCAAAGACTACCAGTAATTGAGATCATCATTTCTGTTGCTAAGCAAGGTAGTTGTTAAATGAGTCGCACCTTATTTTCAACCCTTTCTGCCATAGCTGTTAAACAAATTACTGCAGTTGTTGAGTGAAACACATGGTCATTAAATAGCTCCAGCCTCCTGCATTCATTTTGTTTGTTGGGAGCTGGCTGGGCAGGTGGCAAATGGCGATCATATGATCTCAGGGCACTACAACTGTCATAAATACATTGTAAGTGTGAGGACTGATTGTAAGTCACTTTTTTCAGTGCCATTGTAATTTCGAACAATCATTAAATGAATGGTCGTAAGTTGAGGACTCCCTGTATTTGCAGAGAAGTTCTACCAACTTCAAAAGAGCACTGTGCTATGAGTAGAGTTGTGCACATTTACATTTATATTTATGTTTATTGCTAGAATAAAGCTTCCCAACTGGCTTTAACCCCATTCTGTCACATCATAATAATGTGGCATCAACAGCACGCATGGGACTTAATGGCCATGTTGACACAATCTATTGACTTGGTTATCTAATTAACCCATTTTCTGGATTTACAAACTACAAAATGAATTAAACATGTGGATTGGGTTGGTCCAATAAATCTCCTCCAATCAAACTTGGCCCCCCTTATCTCTTCCACACAGCTGTCTTTTGACAATGCTATGACAGTGAACTTCACTTTCTTCATTTTTCAACGTTTACATCTAGCCAACGACTCCGGGAATTCCCTAATGATTCCCCACCTATTCAGACATCAAGCCAGTCAAGTCACTAACACCTTGCGGTGAACGAACCTTGGCTAACACAATAAAGTTTTAACAAATGGTGCAAATGCATTTGCTAGATCTTTTACTTCAACGCGTTACACATGGTGTGTCACATCGTCCTTAAAATAATAACAATATATTTAATTGTTAAGCAGAGAGCACTGACTAAACGGCTACATCTCCAGATCGCTATCAGGTTTGTTTTTTGCAACGTCTAAGGCAGATTTAACAATATAAATCCAGTACATTTTGACGGCATCGGCTTGGAGGAAACTGTTCCTCGGGTGCGGGATGGTGAAAAGTTATTTCAAGCCGCTCTGGTTCTTCCAACCGCCCCATTTGCACGCCGACGGGCTCGATTGCACTGACCCACACATTCCTTCGCGCGTCCTTGTTCCTAGAAAGCCTTGCCTTTGCAGTCGAGCAATCAATCGCCTTTCGCCTGGGATCTTACCAGCTGCCGATTGCAAGAAGCGTGACGTCAGAAGCAGGGCGGCGGGCCTCGCGCGAGAATTCCCTTCCCCGTGGAAGGCCCGTGCAAATTCTCCGGAAGCGGAATACGTTTTGCTCGTCTGTGCAATCTCACACTGCTCTCTGCTGGCTTCAACGAATCCTAATCCCGTTGGAAAGCAAAGGGCGAGAAAAGCTTAATGCCAATCTCTTTGAAAGGCTAAACTTGGAAGGCACCTTGGCACCAGCACGATTCCCCAAACAGCGCTCTCTTTAAGGATTGACAAGCGCACAAGTTTGCGGATAAAATCAGAGGCGCTTAGGGTAGCTGAAAATTTGTGGGCAGCGCCCTTTTCTTTAACTGAGTGTAAGTAATAGGAATCGCGAAAAGGTTCAAACGAGTCTTTTCTTTGTGGCACTGTGGCAATCCAACCACTGCACTTTTAAAACCATGATTTATATGTTATTTAACTTATATCTCGAGTTTATTATTTTCAGCATACTTAATACTCCTTCCTCCTCCTATTTTCCCCATAACAATAATCCCGTGAGGTGAGTTGGGCTGAGAGACTGTGACTGAGCCAAGGTCAAACTCCACCTGTCAATAGAGCTTATCTGGCAATTGCAGTTTATGGCGATTAAGGAGATTATAAAACATACTTTTGTCCCCAAATCCTAAATTTCATTTACACAGCGATAGCTCTGGGCAGTTCCTGACTGGGCAGGAAAAAGATTTAGAGGTTGTGATAGATGTGACCTGCAATATTGATGCAGTGTGAAAAAGATGAATTCTCATTAAATTTCCTTAGGAAAGGATCTGAAAAATGAAACTGCTTTGTGCCATTATTACAGATCCTTAACACCTTTATACAGATTCATAACACAGCAGTTGTATTGCTGAATTTTGAAGGGGGTCCTTAGTGCAACGAAAGGCAACCAAAGGTATAAGGAGATTGGTAACTTTTCAGTCTGAAAAAAAGAAAAAAGCACAGAGAAATGTGAACGCCTACCCAAAGATGCATGGATTGGAGAAAGCAAACACATCATCTTTTCCCCTGTAAAAATGTATGACTTGAAGACATTCAACCTCTCAAGACAATGCAGGCAAAGATAAATATTTCTCACAAAACATAGTGAAGTCACAGTCCCTCATTCATACAGCTTTAGCTGGGAATTAGACAAGTTTGTGGAAGAAAAGGCTATTTGAATACCAGTTTTAGAGGCGAGGAGGAGTGTGAAAAAGCACACTGAGCTTCACAGAAACATTTTGTTGGCTAGGATAAGAAACAGCACCTTTTGGTTATGTCTGATCTGACAGGGCTCCCGCATTGTCTTGTATTGGTTCTTTAATTCATACAGAGTTAATAATGCTCTATTGTTTTGAGCCAAGGTATAAACTGACTTGAAGATCTTTTGCTAGAAAGTTAGGATTTAAAAATAAAACTATGTTAAAAAGAAAAAAAAAACATTGCTTATTCTGTTGGAAAAGAAGAAATCTCTAGTTTAAGCATCTTTCAGAAATAGGTAACTAGTGTGGTGTACAGGACCAGAAGTATACCTGGACTTTCTGGGAAGTTGAGAATTGTAGTTCCTACAAGCTGAAAAGTCTTGTTAACCTTTGGTCAATTTTGGCTGCTCTTGATAAGGTTTAATTAGGGTCAGATCTGATTAGTCCTTGGATGATCAAAAGTCTGTAGGTATGATTGAGAAGTCTAAAACAACTCCCCCCAAAATAAAAATAAACTTCGGGCATCAAAAGATCTTGCAATTTTAGATGGAGAAAACGAGGGTTGGACTTTGTCGCTCCAGACCACAGAAGGGTCGAGCTGCACTTCACGCGCTCCCGTGCCGCATTAAGGCAGGTGTCTTTCTGCATCCGTCCGACACTTTAATCCGGCCTTGTCTTTCCATTAGCGAAACGGACTCGCCCCCTGGATCTCTAGAAGCTCAAGATAATTGTGCAGACAGACAGCGGCCAGCAGAGGGCTCGGGTTATAATATCGAGAAGGAAGCGAAGGGAGTCCAGGCGCCCCTTCCTTCGCTGTGTTCCCAGGCGGGTCGGCGGCTAACCCGAGGTTTTCAAGCAGGAATTTAGGAAACCTCGGAGGGAGGTACGTGGCGGCAACTCCTGCAGCCCTACGCACCAGGCAAGCAGGTCTGCTCAGAGTCCCGCGGCGTCGCCTCCCCCGACCGGAGTGAGAACTAGCCAAGGGCCGCGGCAGCCATTAAATTCCTCCTGCGCCGTTGCGTAGGCGGGCTGCGGCTGTTGAACACCCAAGGCGAACGAGAGGTAAGGAATCATCTGGGCAGAAAATTGGGGGGTTTTTTTTATCGGGAAACGGGGAGAGAGACAATGGAGAATTATAAATAAACACATACCGCTTTCATAAATCTGATCTGGGTTGGATACAGAGAGGCAATAGGCATTCTGGGGTTGCGCTTCTCCGAGAATCATCGAATGTAAAGATCGGGAGGGATTTTGGAGATAGCGATAGCACTTAGACTTATATACCACTTTATAAGTGCCTACAGCCCTCTCTAAGTCTTTTCTGACCCTTTCAGGAGTTGATCTCCCTAAGCCGTGATTTGTTGAACAATGTTTGAGGTAGAGACCTGAACCAGTTTGGTCTAAATGCATCAGGCTAGAAATTGGGAGCCTGAGTTATAGTCCCGTTTTGGGCATGAAAGAATGGCTGACCTTGGCTCAGTCACAGTCAGACCAACTCACCTCACGGGATTATTGTTATGGGGAAAATAGCAGGAGGAAGGAGTATTAAGTATGCTGAAAATAATAAACTCGAGATATAAATTAAATATAAACATATAAATCATGGTTTTAAAAGTGCAGTGGTTGGATTGCCACGGTGCCACAAAGAAAGTACATATAGAATACCTCAGGCTTCACACCTGGAGCTCATCCACGTTTCAATAAATCAATAAATCATAAATCCTCTTTAATAATAAATCATAAATCCCCTTTAGACAAGGGGATATAAGGGATGCTCATCCCATTTGCAGATGACACAAGCTGTAAAGGATGGTTAATGCAGCAAAATACAGGCTGGGAGTTCAATAGCATTTGAGAAACATGAACAGTTTAAGTGGGTAGAAATGTAGAGTTTTGTAGTTAGGTAAGAAAAACCAGATCTTCAAGAGCAAGGTAAGTACTTAAGAGAAGGATTGGGCATTGACCATAGATTAAACATAGCCAGCAGGGTGATACAGCTGCCAAAAGAACTGGTGCAGTCTTAGACTGCAGCAACTGATTTACGGTGTTGAAATCAAGGGAAAGGTTAGCTCTGCTCTGTGCTACACTGGTTAGACTGGAATACTGTATCTACCAATAGTTCTGGACACTACAATCATAAAGAAATTGAGGAATTGGAAAGAGTGCAGAAAAGAGTGTCAGAGTTTATGAGAGGCTTGGGTACAAGGTACTTTCCAACCCCATTTTGGTTTAGTGTGATTAGATGAAGAGGTCCAGTTGACTAAACATGTGTAAGTAATATACTTGAGGCCAGAGTTTCTTAAAAAGCCCCAGTGCTAAATTTAAAAAGCCACCCATTTATTGTAATGACCCACCAGTTTCTTATTTAGAAGAAAGAGATATAAAATTTCTAAATCACCTCATTGGGGATCCAAGTCTGGTCCACAGCCTAGATATGTTTCAATTAAACAGGTATCATTAGCCAGCTGTTTCATGTATACCTTTGAAACCTGGAGATAGGCTCAGTCCAGACATCAGTTAAGCTGAATAGTGACAAAAGTTCTACAGAATTATACCAGGGTTGGTATCAGCTGTGGATGAAAACCTGTTGCACATTTGTCCTTTTAAAAAGCAATCATTGCGGTAACTTGCAAATTGGAATAAAAGGAATCATGCTGTAATCTGTCATGACAACAACAGGAGTATCAAAAGTGCTACAAATAGGCAAAACCAACAGGCAGTAAATTAAATTGGCCAACAGGCAGTAAAGTGTTAACAAAAGCCTAAGACATTTAAAGTTATTTAAATAAAACACCTTGGATTGCTGATGATATGCAAGCAGAGAAGGAAATAATGTTATTTATTGAGATAGTGAGGTCTGCAGATTGGTTGCTGTCACAGAGAAAGCCCTTTCAACGTTAGGACACAACAGGTGATCTTAAAGACAGGCAGATTCACATGGGAATTGATACCACTTCCTGTAATTTGACAACACCCACAAAGAAACTGGCAGCCATTAAAATCGTGATAGTTAAATAGTTACATGAAGCCAGTACTTTATCCTTTTCAAAAATATCATAAAACTTTCTTAGTGGTTTACTGGGTGGCCCAACACAGAATCTGTTACAATAGTCTAGCCAAGATAGACACAATTTGCAGCATCCTATGGTCATGTGACCATGTTTTATGATGGTTTTGCCAAAAATTGACACTTTGTTTTTGGCAAAAGCAGGTCACAGTGAACAATGAGTTCACTTAATAACTGCCACAAAAAACAGTGTAAAATTGGGTTGTTCACATGACCATTCTGTTTTCCAAACTTTGCAACTTACGACCATAATGGGCAGACTCTGTTATGGTCATAATGCAAAAATTACCTGTATTCCCAATCTATAAACCAGCTCCAGTGAATTCCTTTTTCTAACTCTTACACAATTCTGCTCTCTTGCATTTTCAACAGCTGAAATCCATCTTGACTTTCATGTACTTTGAATTAGAGAATAATTGTCATTTGCTACTTTGTCTGCATTCCACATCGCCCAAACAATGTATGTGTCAGATTCAATAAGAACAAATCTCCAGAGGAGTAAGAACATAAATATGTTCAGAATCCTTTGAAATCAGAAAATGTGGGACGGGATAGATCACACTGTGGTTCCTAGAATAACATCTTCCATCTATTTTCCCTTCAGCTATTAACAAAATGTTGACCCAGGAAATCAAGACGACCTTTAAACAGGAAGAAGAGGAGAAGGTACAGCAGCACGACCCCCACTTAAAGGACTTTATAGAAGTGCAGAACACACCTGAGGA